GATGGGGCAGGATTCGATGGCTTCTCGGATAAAGTGGTAGCAAAGTCTTATGTGTTTGTTTGAGAGTGATGACATGTCTGTAAGTGCAATTGCCCTTGGTGTCAGCGAGGATCTGATGGGTTCTTTGGTTGTCTTTCCAGTGATATCTTGTATCAAGGCTGATAGCCAGATGGCTTCTTTGGTCGCATTGGTGAGTCCTATGTATTCGGCTTCCGTGCTTGATAACACGACTATGGGTTGTTTTCTAGTGTTCCAAGAGATGGTGCGGTTGTTGTACATGAACGCATATCTGGACATTGAGTGATGGTGAGGTTGCGTTCCCAAATCGCTGTCAGAATATCCTACAAGTCTGTTGTTGGTTCCTCCCAAGGTAAGTCTATAGGTTTTAGTCCCCTTAATGTATTTTAGGACCCTTTTTAGGGCTGTCCAATGAGTCGGACCTGGGTGTTAGACAAATTGCGAGAGTATTGATACAGAGAAGGATAGGTCAGGGCGTGTACCTAGCATAAGGTACATTATTTTTCCTATAGCTTCCCTGTAAGGTACGTTGATCATCTCGTTTCATTGAGTTTCGGTTGTAGGGGATTGATCTGTTGATAGGACAGTACCATGTTCTATGGGTGTGAGGACAGGTTTGCAGTTGTGCATGGTGAAGATCTTTAGCATCAAATTGATGTACGCTTGTTGGCCGAGGGTGACAGCGCATTTGTCTCTGTTTTGGATGATTTCAAAGCCTAATAACCAATTGATTTCACCTAGGTCGGATATTTCGTATTCAGAGCCTAAGTCGTTCTTGAATTTCTCTATATCCATTGCTGATTGGCAGGTTATTACCATATCGTCAACAGATACTCCAACAACCATACTATGTGGTTGTACATGTCTGGTGTAGACAGCATGGTCGTATTCGGATCTTGTGAATCCGATGCAAGCGGACATTTTGGTGAGTTTTTCGTACCATCTAAGTCCAGCTTGCTTAAGTCCATATATTCCCTTCTTTAGTTTACAGACCATTCCTTATTGATCTTTGTTCAAGTATCCAGGAGGCGTGTACATGTAGATTTCCTCCTCGAGGTTGGTGTTCAGGTAGGCACTTTTTATATCAACTTGGTGGATTTCCCAGTCCATTGATGCTGCATGTGATAGGATTATTCGATAGGACGTGAGGCGTGCTACAGCCGAGTATGTTTTGAGGTAATCCACCCCGTACTTTTGGCTATTGCCGTTTGCAACTAATCTTACTTTGTATTTGGATATAGCACCGTTTGCATCTTGTTTTATCTTGGTAACAAAGTGACATTTTATGATGTTCACTTGTTTTGGTGGGTAGACAAGGTCCCAGGTGTGTAGATGTTCGAGTTGCTTGAGCTCATTTTTCATCGCTGATCTCCATTTGTCACTATCAGGCCCTTTTAATGCCATATAGAGGGGTGGGCTGTTGTTGTCAGGCGACTCGGCAATCAGAGCGGTTAACTGATTGACATATCCTTCTTGATTCCCATCAAAAAGGGCTGTCCGTGCGATTGAGTTTCCCTCGTGTAGATTTTTATAGAATCCAGGTGTCTTTTGTGCGGTTTCACGTCTGGGCCTTTCATTTGATGGGGGGTGTTGATCTGTGTTGACAGGTGTGTGTTTGTCTCGTGGTCGACTTACTGACAAGGTTTCCTTGTTTAAGCCATCATCATTGTCCTTGGAGATGGGGATGTTCGTTTTGTTGTTGACAATTGGCAGGTTGGGAATAGAGTTGAGAGGTTTCTGGTAGGTGCCTATGGTATCTGGTTTGAATATGATGTTTTGTTCAACGCTGACCGTGCATTTTTCTGGCATATAAATCCGATGTCGATGATGAGAACTGGTGTTAGAAAACCACACACAAAGACAAACTAACACACAATCCTCCCAGATTCCACGGAACTTATTTATGGGCTTTGCCTCCTAGAACAGTGGAGTGGTCTGGTTGTTCGTGGGGTGGTACGTATAACAATCCTTCAAAGTAAAACTCAGTGACGTATGAGTGTGGGTTTTGAGGAGGAGGGATAGTTGAATTTATAGAAGGATAGGGGCTTTGTGGCGAGTAAAGACGAGCACTACCTTGCTAATCGTAGCACAAGGTAGGTTTGAGAATGACGAGGATGACGAGGTGACGAGGTTCCCAGTGATAGCAGGCTCCTGACGCACAAACTGTAGTGCTCAGAAGGACTCTAATCGAAAGGGATGACAATGACTTCAAAAATGGGAAGTGACGATGAGAGCAGTTGGCAGTGGTAGCAGTGGGAAGTGTTGTGATCACACTGGATCACAAGTAGCAGAGTAGTGAACTTGAGAGTAGAGAAGAAGTCTGGATTGGAGTTCTTGTTTTTTTTACAAGGTAAAATACAGGGGTTTATATAGTAAAAGAAAAGTAGGCTATGCACAGTATAGCTGTGCAAAAAGAATGAGAAATAATATGAAGTAAGGAATGTACACTGACAAATCCTGCGTAGGTAGTACAGGATAAGATTGTCAAAAAAAAGGAAAAGAAAGGGATAGAACAATGAATGCTATGAGTAATGTCACAGGTTTGTACAGCCATAAAGTAAAGTCCAATAGCAAAAAGAGAGCAGGAAAATCATGATGTCATGGGAAGATGCAGTCAAAAAAGGGCAAGGCAAAACACTATCAGTATCAACACAGTTTCTTTATTGTCAGTCAGGCATTCTAAAAAAAATATGTGTCCATAAAAATAATTCAAAAATCAAAAATAATCGCACTGTAAATGAATGTTCTGCTGAAAAAAAAGAAACTGGAGCCACCGGTCCACCACCTAGTCCAAATCTGACAGTTCCATGGCCTTACCAATGGACTGGTTGTGTTGGACCACCTGATCAAACAAGGGAGGGAGAGGAGTAGTTCCAATTTGGAACAAGTGAGTCCCAGGCAGCATGTGGTAGGTGTAGCTGTAGCGAAGACGATGGACAAAAGATAAGTGTACCCAAGTGAATGGGACAGCAATGAACATGGGCGACGCAAGGGGATGAACCTTCTCCAGCTCAAACACTACCCACCCACGCTCCAACCAGGCAAGACGAGCGACTGATGTTTTGATAGTATATGATGGTAGATCGATGTCATAAAGATGGACCTGTGGCCCTATTTGAACCGGCCGCCGGGGCTTTGCTGATATCAGCAGTGGCACGTGGTAGTCAACGGATTGGCGACGGAAGCGGATAGGAAGTGGTGACATCAGAAATGGTGGGGGAGCAAAGAAGACAAGGAGGAGGAGGCTGGAGGTGATGAGGAGGTGAACTAAAATGGGGATCCAGAAACGACCGTCGGGTGAGAATAAAAACGAGAGTAAGGGACCCATGGTGGGGCTAGGCAAAGGAAGGGAAGTGAAGGAAACGACAAAAGCGAGGGCGCAATGCAATGTGTAGCCAGTGGCGACACAAAAATTTGCCGAAATGCCGAAACGCGAAAAGTACCAAATGGAAAAGCAAAGGTGAGCATGACTGGATTGCCTAATAGAGGTGGTGCTGATCAGCCATAAGTTCGAAAAAGGCAATATTAATTACTATTCCACGTGGCACTGTGCCTGTGTGGCGCAAAGGCGAGTTTTTTTGAATATTTGCTTCGTTATTGACACCTGTCCATGCTACCAATCAACTTTGGTGCATGACAACGCTCACAGTGTACATTGATTTTGAAGCCTGGCTTGAAACCCAGAAAAACAGTGCTAAAATCAAAGTACTCAGGTCAGATCAAGGGGGTGAATATAGAAGTGAAGCATTTGATGCTCACCTGAAGTCTTGAGGTACCACTCAAGAGTTAACCGTACACAACTCTCCACAGCAGAATGGCGTGTCCAAAAGACTCAACTGGACTATAATCAAACTCTCTCGCACTATACTGGTCGACAGTGGACTTCTTAAATTCCTATGGAGTGAAGCTGTAAAGCATGCTGTATGGATAAAGAACAAAGCACCTACCTGTGCACTGGAAAATAAAACACCCTATGAAATGGTGAATAAAACCAAACCAAACCTATCTGATATTCATCCATTTGGCTGCCGCGTATTTGTACAAATGAAAAATGCAGGGAAACTCGACTCCAGAGCAAACAAAAGACATTTTGTGAGTTTTGACACAGAAAGCAAAGGCTATCGGTGTTATGCACCAAAGTTGATTGGTAGCATGGACAGGTGTCAATAACGAAGCAAATATTCAAAAAAACTCGCCTTTGCGCCACACAGGCACAGTGCCACGTGGAATAGTAATTAATATTGCCTTTTTCGAACTTATGGCTGATCAGCACCACCTCTATTAGGCAATCCAGTCATGCTCACCTTTGCTTTTCCATTTGGTACTTTTCGCGTTTCGGCATTTCGGCAAATTTTTGTGTCGCCACTGGCTACACATTGCATTGCGCCCTCGCTTTTGTCGTTTCCTTCACTTCCCTTCCTTTGCCTAGCCCCACCATGGGTCCCTTACTCTCGTTTTTATTCTCACCCGACGGTCGTTTCTGGATCCCCATTTTAGTTCACCTCCTCATCACCTCCAGCCTCCTCCTCCTTGTCTTCTTTGCTCCCCCACCATTTCTGATGTCACCACTTCCTATCCGCTTCCGTCGCCAATCCGTTGACTACCACGTGCCACTGCTGATATCAGCAAAGCCCCGGCGGCCGGTTCAAATAGGGCCACAGGTCCATCTTTATGACATCGATCTACCATCATATACTATCAAAACATCAGTCGCTCGTCTTGCCTGGTTGGAGCGTGGGTGGGTAGTGTTTGAGCTGGAGAAGGTTCATCCCCTTGCGTCGCCCATGTTCATTGCTGTCCCATTCACTTGGGTACACTTATCTTTTGTCCATCGTCTTCGCTACAGCTACACCTACCACATGCTGCCTGGGACTCACTTGTTCCAAATTGGAACTACTCCTCTCCCTCCCTTGTTTGATCAGGTGGTCCAACACAACCAGTCCATTGGTAAGGCCATGGAACTGTCAGATTTGGACTAGGTGGTGGACCGGTGGCTCCAGTTTCTTTTTTTTCAGCAGAACATTCATTTACAGTGCGATTATTTTTGATTTTTGAATTATTTTTATGGACACATATTTTTTTTAGAATGCCTGACTGACAATAAAGAAACTGTGTTGATACTGATAGTGTTTTGCCTTGCCCTTTTTTGACTGCATCTTCCCATGACATCATGATTTTCCTGCTCTCTTTTTGCTATTGGACTTTACTTTATGGCTGTACAAACCTGTGACATTACTCATAGCATTCATTGTTCTATCCCTTTCTTTTCCTTTTTTTTGACAATCTTATCCTGTACTACCTACGCAGGATTTGTCAGTGTACATTCCTTACTTCATATTATTTCTCATTCTTTTTGCACAGCTATACTGTGCATAGCCTACTTTTCTTTTACTATATAAACCCCTGTATTTTACCTTGTAAAAAAAACAAGAACTCCAATCCAGACTTCTTCTCTACTCTCAAGTTCACTACTCTGCTACTTGTGATCCAGTGTGATCACAACACTTCCCACTGCTACCACTGCCAACTGCTCTCATCGTCACTTCCCATTTTTGAAGTCATTGTCATCCCTTTCGATTAGAGTCCTTCTGAGCACTACAGTTTGTGCGTCAGGAGCCTGCTATCACTGGGAACCTCGTCACCTCGTCATCCTCGTCATTCTCAAACCTACCTTGTGCTACGATTAGCAAGGTAGTGCTCGTCTTTACTCGCCACAAAGCCCCTATCCTTCTATAAATTCAACTATCCCTCCTCCTCAAAACCCACACTCATACGTCACTGAGTTTTACTTTGAAGGATTGTTATACGTACCACCCCACGAACAACCAGACCACTCCACTGTTCTAGGAGGCAAAGCCCATAAACAAGTTCCGTGGAATCTGGGAGGATTGTGTGTTAGTTTGTCTTTGTGTGTGGTTTTTCTAACAACAGTTTTCATCATCGACAGCATGCAGTTTTTATTTTGCAGCATGAAGACATGGCTTTCTTGTGAGAAGTCGTCCGTTAGGGTGAGTACATACTTCTTCCCTATGTCTTCAACTGATGCAGGTCCCCACAGGTCAGAGTGGATTTGGTGGCCATATTTTGTTGCGCGCGTATAAGATTCTTTGGGGAAAGGGATACAATGTGCTTTGGCCTTAGCGCAGGCATTACAGAACATTATGTCAACACTTCTGTCAAGGATTATTCCTTCGGCCATACCAAAGGATATTAGGTGTTTGGCAGCTGAATGTCCTATATGACCCATTGCTCTGTGGAGCTGATTAACCGTCATAGTGACTACGCTAGTTTTATTTGCTGCTAACATTTCATTTGATAGAGTTTAATTCACTTGGTATAGTCCCTTTATCGCTGGGACACAAGCTATAATACGGCATTTTGGCTTGGGTGAGAGGATCTGACATAGGCCTCCTTCTATGTGAATTACATATTCGGCCTTGTCCATATGGCTCGAGGATATTAGCGTGGAGAACATTTCAGGTACATATATTGCATCTTTTAATGTGATGATAGTGCTCTTTGTTCCGTTTGGCAGACATATTACTACATTGCACCAACCTATAGCTTTTAAGGGTGAACCTCCAGCTGCTCGAATAGGTTCTGGGTGTATCATTTTGAAGCTGGTGAATAGGTCTTTGAACGGGCAAAAGTGGCAACTGTAGAGACTTGTACACAAAATATCAAGTCAAGGTTGTAAATCCAAATTCAAAAGCAAAGTCATCATTCGGATATCAAAGCGACAGGGGAAAAAACTACTGGGACACCGTCATCAGTACAGTAGTACAACAAAGTTTTCAAGTGACAACGAGGGAGTATAACGCCTACAAATTAGAAAAACTCGATAACATTGCCGCAAAAAAAGCCCTGGGTCAGTCCGTTGAAACAAGAGGAAAAATATAAAACAGTGATATATGTCGACTAAATTAACACCAAATGAATTCAAGCAGTTCATTTCTTCTTTTAATTACCTTGCCATTTGTGTATCACATCACATGACCGGCAAGCCAATCCTCCACAAATGTGCCCTCCAGCGGAATCCGGGCGTCCCAATGCGGCCACTTACTATTCAGAAATTGCGGGTGGGCAGCGACAAATGCTAGCCAGAAAGCATCACGACCCCATGTCTACTCCTGCAACTGGGTAGACAATGTAACAAGCCAGCTCTGTATGTTTTTATGGAGCGTGGTCCAATGTGACAGATTTAAGAAGTCGAAAGACAAAGGGAGGGGGAGGAACGTAACGGAAGGTTGGTCGGTAGAAATGGTGGAAGGTTGATTGACGGAAACAGTGGAATATGATTGTTCTGAACTCGTGTAATAGGTCTGCCATCATCCGGCGTGTATTTGGGGTGTATTTGAAAAAATAAAAAAAACTTGCCTCGCCCGAATGCAAGGAGTCTAACTCATGCCCTGCCCACGTAATGGCGTTGATCACAGGTTTGGTGAAAAGGCTGCACTTTCCACCCAAAGACACCGAGACTTCAACTGGCCATAAAAATGAAAATAAAATAAAACGGTCTATTAGACTGTATTTTTCAGAAATGAGGAACAAGGACTTACAATGTCATTGTGAGCAAGATAACCTGGGACAGCACCAGGGAAACATATGGTGAGAAGCAAAGGCTGCAGCGCTGCGTCTTTGGACTCGTGGAACTGAATTGCCGGGAAGAGGTTTGAAGTTTGAACGCTTTTGTGTTCACTCACTGGTGAATCCATGCTTGGGTGGTGAGAAATTTCAAAGAAGGAACAACGCACTGTACTCGGGTTTGAGCACACACGTAACTGTGTTGATCAGTGGGTGGCGTCTCTGGGTCATCACAGTGATCATTAATCTTCAACTCACGCAATCAACTCCTTCGAGTCAGAAACTAAAGATGAGATGAGGCAAAATGAGAACAAAAGGCTGATAGATGGAAATGGTAAGTTTATTTGTATGATTATTTACCGCTAGTGACTATTTTCACAGTCTTCCAATACTGCAACTTGCGCAAAAAATGTGTTGTTTGCACTGTTTGCCCGTTGAAGGCAGGAGAGCTCCGGACTATGGATATCAGGGTAGTCAAGAAACATTTGGAAAGTGGTATTCACAGCCGTCACATTGACTTCCTCTGCTCTGGAGCATGTTCAGTATCCAATCTGTTCATTTATCAGGGGCGCAACAGCTTTTGGTTTAATAGAAGTGAAGACATGATAGATGACAATTCAGACTTGGAGATTCCACAAGTTTCCCGCTCTCCCCAACCTGTTGCGCACAAAAAATCTAATTTGCCTTCAAGCTCTTCTAACTCAGCACCACCAGAAGAATACAAATACTATTTTTTATTGGAGCTCTGGCAGCCAGACCAAGACAATCGGATATACAATATCAGGGTAAATAATAGTGTGGATTTATTTGAAGAGCTGCAACAGTCACTTAAGGCCGGTACTTTTCTATATCCAACCCCTCTTCCTCCTCAAAATGAAATCAGATTCAATGACGGCTTTGAATCAAACTTTGGGATCAAATTGCCGTGTAAGTCAGTACATTTCAATCTTATTTCTCTTTGCTAAATATGACATTAGCTGAGGAGATTCCATTGTTGTCCTCAAGTACTGGACTGTGCACTGGGACCAAAGTATCTCTGGATAATCCATATTGTCCATGGCCATCAAAAGCGGTAGGAAGTTCTTTTCAATTACCGGCTCTGTACTCATTTAGTTTAAGCATTTTTTATCAGCCCTTTTATTTGGATCTGCACGGATTCCATTCTCAGATGTGCAGAAACATGCCATACTAAACTGGGCAAAAGAACTTGGTGCCCAAAATGTACCCTCACTCTATTCTATCAAAAAATGCAGCAAACGAGTTTCTGAACTTCTTGGGAACATTACGGACGGGGTCACTTCACAATTGGGCAATATATTCTATATGAACGACATCGGTAAAGCTATTGCAAAGGTAACTGCATTAAGTGACAAATCCAAATTACTAACAAATGATCTTAGGACTACGCAAATCCGCTCACCCGCTTTGCCATGCAAGACTATCCTGAAGATGGTGGAAGCGGGATGTCTGAAGTCTTCAATGGCGAGAAACTACTAACACAGATGCAGTCACCTCCAGCAGCTCGTGTTCTGGATAAGATTTATTTTATCAACAAGCTCCTTCAAGAAAATTTGGGCAGGTATTTTATCCCAGAACAGTTTTTCTTAGCATCTTACCCGTCTACGGACAACAATGCGCCTACAGATAAAGAGCTCTATGCTCTGGGTTGTCCTGTCAAGCGCACTGAAGCAGGTTTTATCGTAAATGACGAAAAAGAAATCATTCCGACTTCGGCATTTATTCGCTTATTCAAAGACATTCTTTTGCATGAAGGTGAATTATCTTGCAGACTCATGGGTGTGTTTAATTTACATACACTTTATTTTCCCCATCTATTATACTCATTATTTCACAGAATCATCTAAAAAATATGCAGAGCTCATGCCACATCCACTTTGCCAGAAGGCCAACGGCCAAATAGTGTACTCTGTGCCATTAACCATTTTTATGGATGATGTCTCTGGCAATATCTCAAAACAGTGGAATAAACACCATACTATCTACATGTCAAATGCAAATTTGCCTCGCGAGCTGCTCAAAAAGGAGTTTTTTGTTTGTTTTGTATCATCCTCTCCTCATGCAGCACCAATGGAGTTGATGCGGGTGATGAAGGATCCGATATGGTATGTTTGCATGGCTTAGAGTTCGGACTACTTAAACTAACAAAAACCAGTAAAACAGCAGAAACTGGATCATCGCTTGGGACTGTAGGGATGAGCAAGAAGTTATGCTCATCCCTTATGGTCTATTCATTGCAGGAGACAATCTGATGCAGGCGGAGGAGTGTAGTCACGCAGGGCTAGGTTGCAACTACTTCTGTCAAATATGCAAAGTAGGTGGCATGAATAAATACAAAAAATCCGAAGCAGGGTACAATAGTTTATTTGTGGTATGTACATTGCGGTTACAATTTCTCTCTCTCTCTCTTACACTAATGTTACAATAGCCAGGGGCCTTGCATACCCCAGAAAAAACAGCGGAGAAGATCTGTTGCCAATTTGATAGTCCCTTCAAATCCGGTGCAACTGAAAAAATTAAGGTATCGACAGCTTCCAAAGGTGTGAGTGATCAAACATCAGCAAGAATTATTCAGACAGTGGTCAAAATGGGGAAAAAAGTTAAGAAAACAAGAAGCAGGACAGCGAGTTGTACCAGAAGTAGAAATACAAGCCTCGTTGGAAAAAGAGTTTGAAGAGCTGATGCAAGGCCTCAAATACAAGGATGTGATCAATCCACTCCTTGGCATGGAAGGTGAGTTTTATGCGGTCTGTTTGTTGTACGCACACCTCACACTGGGACAGGCCTTGATATTCATATGGATACGCCTACGGAAATATTGCATACAGTTTTATTAGGAGTTGTGAAATATGTCTGGTTTCAAACAATCTTTCTTCTTGAGAAAAACAAGCTACTCGATATCTTCCAAATGCGCCTCGAGTCCATCAAACAACACGTTATGAATTGTTCAACCATATTTTCAGGCTCTTGTGTATTTTTAGCAATCAACAGGCGCCAAGTAAGGACACTTGTCATATATTTGCTCACCAGGATACCATCAAACACATTGCTACAGGCGGTTACTGGTATCACACTGTAAATAAGACGTGGGTTTGGGGGGGCTCAGAGGTGCTTGGGTACATGGAAACTCATCCACATCAGGCTAAATTACTTGGATTACCAAGTTGTGATTCACCTGAGCCAGGTAAGCCCTTTTTATTAAAGTGATCCAATCCTGATGCCTCTCTCACTTGTAGGTACTGGCATTATTCTCAAAATCGGTGGAAAGAAGGACACCATCACTTGGAAGAAGTCCCGCTGCGCGGCAGTACTGCTAAACATCAAGGAACGTCCTGGACTCACACTTTACAGGGGAAAGTCTTTGATAATAAAGGTGGGCAATAATGTGTCGGTGGATAACCACATCATATTCTACCATCCTGTTGAAAATAAGGTAAGAAGTTGTGTTAGTTGGAAATTTCACACTCATCCATTGATTTTCTATAGCCATGTATTGGCCAAATTCATGAAGTCTTGATTTAAAGCGACACAAAAGCAATTGAATGTATCTCAATTTAACTACTGTTGTTCTCGCCTGCCCTGCATCCTTTGCTGCAAGTTTTGTGCTTGGACCTGCTTGATGAAGAAATTGTTACTTCTAGCGAAGTAAGTCAACTTTCATATTAAAATTTATACCTGTATCTTACTAGAACTACAGAACATTATTTGTGCTGTTAATATCCAGCATAATTGTATTGACTCTAAATGCGTTGATACATCTCATATACATCTGCAACAGGAACGTACTCGGAGCATCAGGACAAAAGCCATTATCAGGCACAAAAACACCTCAAGGTACCTCCTTAACTCTTTCTCGATCCACAACTATGAGCACATCTATATGGCCCTCCCCGAGAGTTTGCGTAGTACCCCTCTCCGCATCACCAACATTGAAGAGGTCCAAAAAGTGGCTGTTCAGCAAATGGAAAACACCAAGTCAGCAAACAGTCCCAGTGAGGCGGCAGAGAACGTAGAAAATGGTACCAGTGAGGCAGTGGAGAACACAGAAAATGGTACTGCTAACACCAACAACCTACAACTGGCCTTTGACCATCAACCAAACAAGCCAAAGATTGCCCGCAAGCAACATAAGAAATGTGCGCCTGTATGGTCTGTGTCATCCCAAGCACTCTCACTGTAACAACCAAGAGTTAGTTACTCTGGCGCACACAGGAACACACTATAAAGAAGATGATAGGGAGTGGTTACCCCTTAGGCTGCAGTGAGTTAGTTGTGCTAGACAACAGGAGGACTCACTGAGTCCTTCCCCATGTATTGCTCCTGTATATATACTGAATACATGTTTGTTTGTACATATGTACTGTACAGTTGCTAGAGGCAGTGGCTGCCGATGTCATGGGGCCTAGCCTGTGTGACCAGCTCCACTGCGTGAGATACTTGTATCTAAAATAAGACTAAAGGCAGCACCGCACGAGAAAGGTGGAGTTTGAACTACAAGGGGAAGTGCCACATGGCACAGTGTGAAAACTACAGTACAAGGTTAAAGCAGAGAATGAAATTTAAAGGAAAGGTCCGAAAATGAAAAGTAAAGTAAATAGTCACATGACTGGTCATGTAACTTGGAAAATAAAAGTAGAAGTACAAAAGTGAAGCGTAAGTAGGTGCTGGTATGTTAATTGTAACACTCACCCCCAGCACCATCTCAAGTGTTTGCATCCTCTTTGCAACCTGGTACGTCCTTTGGCCCGTTTCCATCCACTTTGCGCACACCATCCCAAGCACTCCACTCTTCCGCGTTTATATCCTCCTCGCAACCTGGTTTATCCTCTGTCCATCTCCAGCCGCATCAACCACCACCTGGCCCATACCCATCCACTTCACACATGCCATCCCAAGCACTCTTTCCCCCGGTGCCACCTCAACCGTGCTACTCCCCTGCGCTATTCCAAGCACATTACTCCCCCACGCTATCCCAAGTGCAGTACTCCCCTGTGCCATCCCAAGCAAGATGTTCCCCCACACCATCCCAAATACAGTACTCCCTCACGCAATCCCAGGCGCTCTACTCCCCCATTCCATCCCAAGCACAACACTCCCCTGTTTTTATACCTCTTTTGCAACCTGGTTTGTCCTCTGTTCATCTCCAGCCTCTCTAGCTGCGGCCAATGCAGAATCACCCTCCTGGCCTGTATTCATCCACTTTGCACACACCACTACATTCCCCCTCCTACATGTCCCACGGAGCGTTACCACCACCCGCAATCCCTCCCCTGTTTGCATTCTCCCAACTGGCTCACCCTATCCCCATTTATAATAACAGATTTGCCCAACTACCTGCATCTGGTGGTACTACCCTACCATTGTACCGATCAACTCACTCAAGCAAGCCATAATTTTTCGAGACTCAATTCAATGTACGCCCATTATAAGTTTTTCTTGTATTTCTATTTTACATTTTGTAGTTTCCAGCTCGATGATACTGACATTTTGCCAAAAATAACATGTGAACAAATAAACAATGGAACAAACAGCATTGTCAAATTTGCTCACTAATCATCCCAAGTTTGCTGATGCCTTCAGTTGTTTTTCCAACAGAACATTCACCCGTTGTCGATGATGAGAATTATTGTTAGAAAACCACACACAAAAACAAACTAACACACAATCCTCCCAGATTCCACGGAACTTGTTTATGGGCTTTGCCTCCTAGAACAGTGGGTGCTCTGGTTGTTCGTGGGGTGGTATATATGAGGATCCTTCAAAGTAAAACCCAGAGGTGTATGAGTGTGGGTTTTGAAGAGGAGGGATAGTTGAATTTATAGGAAGATAGGTGCTTTGTGGCGAGTATAGACGAGCACTACCTTGCTAATGGTAGCACAAGGTAGGTTTGAGAACGACGAGGATGACGAGGTGATGAGGTTCCCAGTGATAGCAGGCTCCTGACACACAAACTGTAGTGCTCAGAAGGACTCTAATCAAAAGGAATAACAATGACTTCAAAAGTGGGAAGTGACGATGACAGCAATTAACAGTGGTAGCAGTGGGAAGTGTTGTGACCACACTGGATCACAAGTAGCAGAGAATAGTGAACTTGAGATTAGAGAAGAAGTCTGGATTGGAGTTCTTGTTCTTTTTTTACAAGGTAAAATACAGGGGTTTATATAGTAAAAGAGAAGTAGGCTATGCACAGTATAGCTGTGCAAAAAGAATGAGAAAGAATATGAAGGAAGGAATGTACGCTGACAAATCCTGTGTAGGTAGTACAGGATAAGATTGTCAAAAAAAGAAAAGAAAGGGATAGAACAATAAATGCTGTGAGTAATATCACAGGTTTGTACAGCCATAAAGTAAAGTCCAATAGCAAAAGGAGAGCAGGAAAATCATGATGTCATGGGAAGATGCAGTAAAAAAAGGGCAAGGCAAAACACTATCAGTATCAACACAGTTCCTTTATTGTCAGTCAGGCATTCTAAAAAAATATGTGTCCATAAAAATGATTCAAAAATCAAAAATAATTGCACTGTAAATGAATGTTCTGCTGAAAAAAAAGAAACTGGAGCCACCGGTCCACCACCTAGTCCAAATCTGACAGTTCCATGGCCTTACCAATGGACTGGTTGTGTTGGACCACCTGATCAAACAAGGGAGGGAGAGGAGTAGTTCCAATTTGGAACAAGTGAGTCCCAGGCAGCATGTGGTAGGTGTAGCTGTAGCGAAGACGATGGACAAAAGATAACTGTACCCAAGTGAATGGGACAGCAATGAACATGGGCGATGCAAGGGGATGAACCTTCTCCAGCTCAAAAACTACCCACCCACGCTCCAACCAGGCAAGACGAGCGACCGATGTTTTGATAGTATATGATGGCAGATCGACGTCATGAAGATGGACCTATTGCCCTATTTGGACCGGCCACCGGGGCTTTGCTGACATCAGCAGTGGCACGTGGTAGTCAACGGATCGGCGACGGAAGCGGATAGGAAGTGGTGACATCAGAAATGGTGGGGGTGCAAATAAGATGAGGAGGAGGAGGGTGGAGGTGACAAACAAGTGGATTAGAATGGGGACCCAGAAACGACCGTCAGGTGAGAATAAAAAGGAGAGGAAGGGGTCCATGGTGGGGCTAGGCAAAGGAAGGGGAATAAGGGAAACGACAAAAGCGAGGGTGCAATGCAATGTGTAGCCAGTGGCGACGCGAAAATTTGCCGAAATGCCGAAACGCGGAAAGTACCGGATGGAAAAGCAAAGGTGAGCGTGACTGGATTGCCTAATAGAGGTGGTGCTGATCAGCCACAAGTTCAAAAAGGGCAATATTAATTACTATTCCACGTGGCACTGTGCCTGTGTGGCACAAAGGCGAGTCTTTTTGAATATTCGCTTCGTTATTGACACCTGTCCATGCTACCAATCAACTTTGGTGCATGACAGCGGGTAAATTCAATAATAGAAAACTAAGGAACTATACATGAATATGTAAGGCTTTATATAGCTAACTGTCCGTCCCTCAGACCGAAAGGAGAGTAAACAAAAAGTGGTCTGAGGAATAAATCGTCCAATAAGAAAAAGAAAACAACTATTGTACAACTTTAACTTGATTAATCAGCGGGTGAGAGAATTGTACTAATAATAGATGTTTGTCACGCTTGTTTATGAACCGTATCCTCATGATGAGGTACGATCCTGATCAAAGCGTTTATTAGTATATCCAGGCCTTAATGGGGCTTGGAGCTGGTTGGCGAGATGCCTACTACCAGTTCCTACCCATTATGCTGGCTGGCTAGGAGTGATACCCAGTCTCTGATCTGTGATATAAAGTGGTAACGGTGGTTAAGAAAGCCTGTGAGGGCTATGAGAAGTAAGATGGCAAATAATACCTCTAGCCCTAGAGCCAGAGATGTAATGGGAAAGGTGTTCGAGAACCAAGACATAGAGAAGATAAGAAAATAATAAAATGGTCCTTACACATTGGACTCTGGGTACTGTATACCTGTCATACTCTCTAATAATCTAGTTACTCACATTGGACTCTAGTTCCAGTCCCTGATAGCTCTCAGCAAGTGGTTAGACACTTCTTTTAAGCTTTGTTCTTAATACTTAATGCCCACTGAAACTCATTGGTGCTTGCTAAGGCTCTCTAGATTGTCAGTTAACACTTTTCTGCCTTCTAAAGCTACTTTGGGCCTTCATGTTTGCTGGTTTGAAGCTCCCTGAATTCAATGCCTTGATACTAACTGAAGCTACTTGGGGCTTTTATGTCCTCTCTGGATAGTTGCTTAATACTTTGTTCCTGCTGAAGCTGCTTGTGGCTTTCACCTTGCTGCTGTCTGAAGCTCCTTTAGGAGCCTCAACTATAGAGTCTCTTCAAAATTTGATGTCATGGATATGTGCAGATAATAATGTGAAATCATTATGAACATATGCAGATAAAATTGTAAAACTATTGTGAACACATGCAGATAAAATTATGAAATAATTGAATTGCTTACTTTTAACACCTTTAACAGTACTATGCAACTGTTTATTGCATAATAGCAACAGTTGATATTAAAGTTGTCAGTAAGTATTGTATTTTATTTAGTATTTCTCTTGTAGAAAAGGTCCATGATAAATGAAAATTGTAAAATAAATGGAAGCAAATAAAAAATTAACATTGGTTTTCTAAACTGTGAAACTTGATAATTTAACCTTGTGGCACAAGAGAATAAAACAGATATGAAAAAAAAAGGTAAATTCATAATGTACTTTCAATTTATACTAGACAAACAAGGCAGATAAATTAAAATTTCATCTGTATGAAAAAGTTTTAATTTTGTGTGCTAAAACATATTAAAAGATGTAGCTAAAATACATCATGTTTTAAGAGTCAAAATTTTGAATGAGAGCTGTATTTTTAATGTTTTATTTTCAGTAAAACATTTCAGAAGTGTCAGTCAGAAATATTGTGATTACATAGTGTTAAAATTCATAATAAGAGTGGGATGAAAATCTTGATTTTGAACATCATTTAGTCAATAATATCTCTGCAGAAAAATCATGATGACAACCAATGAAAATTATCTATGATTCTTAACTTTACTTAGAATTTTTACCTGAGATAAATTTCAGATATTTACACCATTATTTCCTTTAAAACAATGTGAGCATAAATACTAAAAAGTTGTTAATAAGTACAAATTTTTTCACTATTTTATCTATCAAAAAATTGTATGTAAATTTTGTCTTTGAATAGCATTTTTTCACAATATTATTCAAGAGTAAAATTGGTCATTTCCCCCAGTCACAGGGGCACAAACTGCCTGTATATAGGCAATAGCGACTGGACTGGGGACAGTCACTTAAGGTCGCGGACGTACAGTACACGGCCAGTCGGGTAAACCATATCAGCGATATCTTAAATAGACTGTGTCCGGGAAATATCGGCAATATATGCTAGCAATCCTTTTCCCGCTACAAAGTGTCATTGTATATAACATATATAGAAGCTATGGCCTTGAGTGATATAGAATCAATGTCGTCAGAGTGAGCTTGTGACATGATTTTTTGACCGCTGGGATATTGTTTGGGATATCAGTTTTCTGTCACTCATAGAGATATAGCTGATACATAACTAGGCATATATAGTGCATATATCTCAGTAAGATATGCAAACCAACAAGGCAAAGAATATTGCCAGTATATGGCACCCACATGTTCAATATATATCTAGATAGACACTGGCCAAATATTAGAATGCATCTGTATTTTTCATATGTTAATTACTCAGAGGTGCAAAAACTGAAAAAGTATAAAATAGCAGTATATTACGATCATGAGACTATACAGGTAGCATTACGAGCAACATGGAATGTAAATATAACATGAATGACAAGGACTTTACCACAGAAGAGCTTTCTGGATAGTATCCTGCCATTCAGGCTGCGAGACTACAAGTGAACCAGAGACCTTGCGGCGTCCAGGAAGTTCAAGAAGATCTTGCTGGAAATACTCCATTATAATACTGTTTAATGTATAAGCTCCGGTACTATGGTTAAAGTGTGGTACATACGTGCAATAGCAATCTTCAAAACCTTGACCGTTGCAAGATATCTCTCCTGCCCATTTCCGAATTAAATCAAGCAAGAAGTTGACAAATCTTCAATACTTAACCTTGGTCCAGACAACCGGGGTTCCGTCAAGACCAAAACCAGATGACTTGGAGTCAATTTCTGGAGTGTTGCTCTCTTCATCGTTGTCATTCTCCTTATGTTCTCAATTGTCATTGTCATCCAACTCCCTAATATTGTCATCTTGATTATCACTGTTGACTCTTTTCTTCGTGGTTATCATCATTATCACACCAAATGCCATCCATACCTTGTTCTCTGAAGTCCCCCCCATCATGGTTGGAGTTCAAATCCTCGTATTCTTCTCCCTCATTCATCTCCCTCTCAAGCTGGTCAATATCAATATCCAATTCATTCTCAAGCTTCCTGCGGATCTCCGGGTGCATGAAACATATCATGTGAGGAGAATAAAGCTTGTCAACCAATATTTTGTCATAGTTAGATGTATCAATCAGGAAAATATGAAGACAGCATCGCTGGAATGGTTTTTGAGAAGTAGTTCTGAATGTAAAAAATAAATATACCAAAATAGCAAATTGGATCCAATGGGATGAGTCTACCTCCATACCTTTGTTTGTTATAGGTTTGATAGCATCTATAATGGATAGTTTCAAGCGGATCAACTTCATTAACTGATAAAATATTAGTAAGTCATGAATGAAGAGAACGTTCAAACTTACATCCTTCTTGATTGTTCCCCAAACGGACGACAAAATCTTTGTCAGAAGCTTGCTTAGAATATTGTACAGTCCTTTATTTTCAAAAACCAGCGGATTGATTTTGAAGAGTTCACAATGTTGCTGAATAAGTGTCTGCAAAAAAGAGTAAGCTTATGATGTGCAAAGAAAATAGGGGTGAACCATAACATGTCTGTGCATTTCTGTCACATAAGCTGTGATGCTAGGGGACAGTAGACATACAATGATTTGGCCCTTGAGTTTGACCTGTCTCACAAGTGTCAGTAATCACTATCACCAATTAAAACTGTGACTTACTTCAAAATCTTTCATACTGAGTTGCTTCTCCAGCTCGCAAATATGGTTTGCATGGTCTTGCTGCAGAATAGAAGCATGGATATCAAGAAGCATGAAGTAAAAACCACCAAACTGTAAAGGGAGCACTCTAGTATTGAAATAAAATACAAAAAATGAAATACATCTATAAAATCATGTAGCTTTTCCTCAGCTACACCATGTTCTGTGGATAGCTTTCTTTGCATATTGCTTGAGCCGTTTTACTTGATGGGACAAGATCTGGAGAAATTCTTCCTCCTAGTTATGGTCCCTCTCTTGTTGGCGGCCCAAACTAGCCGCCACATCCAAGGAGGTTCCAGAACTTGTAGTCCTGGGCTGAGTATATGGCGCCTGGGAGAAATCACAATCCTCTGACATAGAAGCTTGATGGTTGGATTTCCTGTGCAAAGTTGACTTGGCACTAGATGTTGTCTTTGAGGAGGGAACAATGGATCCACATCCAGAATTTGAGTCCTCTCTATTGCCATCTGTGGTGGAACTGGGCACCGTAGAACGTCTGAGAGACAGTGGCTTGACCAACTGTGATGTAGGACCTCCTGTGGGCCTGCGCAGCGAGTATTGTTGGACCATCATCTTTGCAAATTGACGTTGAGGACGGTGTCATGCACCAAAGTTGATTGGTAGCATGGACAGGTGTCAATAACGAAGCAAATATTCAAAAAAACTCGCCTTTGCGCCACACAGGCACAGTGCCACGTGGAATAGTAATTAATATTGCCTTTTTTGAACTTGTGGCTGATCAGCATCACCTCTATTAGGCAATCCAGTCACGCTCACCTTTGCTTTTCCATCCGGTACTTTCCGCGTTTCGGCATTTCGGCAAATTTTTGTGTCGCCACTGGCTACACATTGCATTGCACCCTCGCTTTTGTCGTTTCCCTTATTCCCCTTCCTTTGCCTAGCCCCACCATGGACCCCTTCCTCTCCTTTTTATTCTCACCTGACGGTCGTTTCTGGGTCCCCATTCTAATCCACTTGTTTGTCACCTCCACCCTCCTCCTCCTCATCTTATTTGCACCCCCACCATTTCTGATGTCACCACTTCCTATCCGCTTCCGTCGCCGATCCGATGACTACCACGTGCCACTGCTGATGTCAGCAAAGCCCCGGTGGCCGGTCCAAATAGGGCAATAGGTCCATCTTCATGACGTCGATCTGCCATCATATACTATCAAAACATCGGTCGCTCGTCTTGCCTGGTTGGAGCGTGGGTGGGTAGTTTTTGAGCTGGAGAAGGTTCATCCCCTTGCATCGCCCATGTTCATTGCTGTCCCATTCACTTGGGTACACTTATCTTTTGTCCATCGTCTTCGCTACAGCTACACCTACCACATGCTGCCTGGGACTCACTTGTTCCAAATTGGAACTACTCCTCTCCCTCCCTTGTTTGATCAGGTGGTCCAACACAACCAGTCCATTGGTAAGGCCATGGAACTGTCAGATTTGGACTAGGTGGTGGACCGGTGGCTCCAGTTTCTTTTTTTTCAGCAGAACATTCATTTACAGTGCGATTATTTTTGATTTTTGAATCATTTTTATGGACACATATTTTTTTAGAATGCCTGACTGACAATAAAGGAACTGTGTTGATACTGATAGTGTTTTGCCTTGCCTTTTTTTTACTGCATCTTCTCATGACATCATGATTTTCCTGCTCTCTTTTTGCTATTGGACTTTACTTTATGGCTGTACAAACCTGTGACATTACTCACAGCATTCATTGTTCTATCCCTTTTTTTTCCTTTTTTTGACAATCTTATCCTGTACTACCTACACAGGATTTGTCAGCGTACATTCCTTCCTTCATATTCTTTCTCATTCTTTTTGCACAGCTATACTGTGCATAGCCTACTTCTCTTTTACTATATAAACCCCTGTATTTTACCTTGTAAAAAAAACAAGAACTCCAATCCAGACTTCTTCTCTACTCTCAAGTTCACTACTCTGCTACTTGTGATCCAGTGTGGTCACAACACTTCCCACTTCTACCACTGTCAACTGCTGTCATTGTCACTTCCTACTTTTGAAGTCATTGTCATCCCTTTCAATTAGAGTCCTTCTGAGCACTACAGTTTGTGCGTCAGGAGCCTGCTTGTTAGTTTTGGTGATTCTGCACCTTTGTGCTACCTCTATACTTTCATTCCTTTCTCTATCTATTGCTCTACCATTCAGTATTGATTGTGTTCTCTATTATTCCGCCTTTGTGGCTCCTTTGTTTACCTTTGTTTACAAAACATCGGACAGTACTGCAGAGTCCAATGCTTCCTATTCTCTAGTTACTCACATTGGACTCTAGGTACTGTATACCTGTCATACTCTCTAATAATATAGTTACTCACATTGGACTCTAGTTTCCAGTCCCTGATTGCTCTCAGCAAGTGGCTAGACACTTCCTTCAAGCTTTGTTCTTAATAGGTTATGAGCCCTGTGCTCTAGCCATCTTCCTGACCTCATATCTCACCATCCAAGCGTCCTACTGCTTATCCATCGTAACCATCGTCTTCTGGGACTCCTATTATCCCATCCATCATCTCAGATTACTCTGATCTCATCCTGATCTCCAACAACAACTCCTTGTTGCAAGTTACCCCCATTTTGGACGCTTTTTTGGTCTTATCTGCATCATATCTCATCCAATCCTTATCTGATCGTCCCCATACTTCTATCATCGTCTTCTACGGCCTAAATAACCCTAGGAGACCTGTCAGAGCGGTCGGATTTGAGCTGGATCTTTCTGTGAGCCTTCATCATCATTTGATCACCTTTTGGCCCCCTACTCCATATCTCCACTTCCTGTGCTCGGATCTTGGCCCTATTTCAGCCATCTAGTACCCTATACTATCGCACTCTACACCCTCAATTTGGGGACAATCCATCCACTCCATCACCCTCTGTGAAGTTCGCATTTTTGGCACTTTCACCCCTATTGCACCCCTATTGCATATCTCCACATCCTGTGCTTCACTTGTTGTGATATTTGGGCCATCTATTGCTCTATATAAATGTTCCATATACCTCTGATTAGGGGGCAATCCATCCATCCTATCTGTCTCTGCATCATTTTCGACTTTTTGCCCTATTTTTCGCTTTTTGGCATATCTGGTGTGTGCATAAAGCTCCAATCTTCTCTACTCTGTCCATTATCAGATAGAACAAGCCTATAGACTGTGAAGCTCGCTTGCATTGCCTCAGTTTGCTGTTGCCTAGAGCCTCTCTCAGTCTGCGGTGTTTGGGGAGCTTAAGTCACTTTGTTGACTCATATACAAGCCCTATTAACCAACACTGTCTCGAGGCGATTTCTCTGTTAATATCAGTGTGGTATTGAAAGGGGAACACAGGCGTAACCCTGTAGCAGCACTAGGAAGCCTTAGCACCCTCCTGGATCGCTTTTGGACGCTTTTTGGACCCTATTTGGACCTATCCTTGCGCTTTCTGACCCTCTCCATATCCTCTCTCTACCGCCTCACCATCTTATCTGCTCGCCTCCTACTGTTGCCCATCGCCTTTGCCACTGTTCAATCGCCTATAGCCGTCTCCTAAATCATTTATCTTTGCTCTATCGTCTTAAACAACACCCATCATGTCTGACTCTGACCCAAAGTTCCATCCCTTGTCTGGCACTAACTACCCCCAGTGGAGTGGTGAAATGCAAGCTTGGTTGATGACCAAGGGACTGTGGAGGCTTGTCTCTGGTGCTGAAAAGTGTCCTGGGACTGACGCTGAAGCAATAGAGAAATGGGAGTTGAGAGCTGAAAAGGCTGCTGGTGCATTATACCTCAATGTCACCAAAGAGCAGCGCATCCATCTTGATGGCATCATTGATGATCCTGTCAAGATCTGGGAGAAACTGGCCATTGTGCACGTCTCTAAGAAGCCTGGGACGAGATTTAACGCCTATGACGACTTCTTCTCTATTAGAAAGAAGGAGGACGAGTCCCTGCAGTCTCTCATGACCAGAATTGACGAAGGCATGCATCAGATTCAAAATCTTCGTCCTACAGGGTTCTCATTGTCTGAATATCGCTACTGGGTCACCTTCATTGATGATCACAGTCAATTCCGTGTTGTTGTGCCTCTCAAGGCCAAGTCAGATGTCTTTGATGCTTTCAAGAGATTCAAGGCTTATGCTGAGACTCAATTGGAGCGCAAAATCAAGGCTCTGCGTGATGACAAAGGGGGAGAGTACATGTCCAAGGAATTTGAGCAATTCACAGATGACCATGGGATTGTGAGACAGCATACCACCAGGAATCGTCCTCAGCAGAACGGTGTGGCAGAGCGAGCAAACAGACTTCTGACTGAGCGTATCACTGCCATGTTATCAGAGTCTGGATTGCCTAATAGCTTTTGGGGTGAATGTCTGTCCGCTTTGGTGCATGTCTGGAACAGGTGTCCCACTGATGCAGTGGCCCATGCCACTCCCTTTGAGCTGTGGTATGGACGCAAGCCTGACATGTCTCACCTTCGCGTTTGGGGCTGTACTGCCTATGTGCATGTACAAAAGGACAAGAGGGGCGTCTTTGGCTCTCATATGGAGAAATGTGTGTTCATTGGTTACCCTGAGGGGTACAAGGGATGGAAGTTCTACAATCCTACCACCAAGCGCACTGTTATCTCTGAGAGAGCTGATTTTGATGAGCGCTACTTCCCTGGCTTGAAGAGGTCTTCTGACAATGTCCCACCTCCACCTCCACCTCCTACTCCACCTGCGCTATCCATGCCATTGGGCCTGATTGAGGATGTCCCTGCACCAGGTCCAGGGGGAGATATGGGCCCACCAGCTGCGCTTCAGCAGCCTCAGCCATTGCCTGACAATGGGCCTCATTTGGACCTTGATCCAGAACCTCCTGTAAATCAGCCTCCTGTACTCCCAGACCAACCTCTTCATCGTTCACCATCTCCTGATATGCCTCTTGCTCTCAGACGTCCTGTTAGGGCTAAGAAACCACCTGGAGAGTGGTGGGTTCAACACAGAGAACCCACTCCTGCCATTGACAGTGACAGTGATTCTGAGGCAGATGGTGATCAAATGGCCCACTTTGGTGATTCTGCTG